CAAATATCAGCTCCTGCATCCTGACAAGCCTCTGCAGGTTCTCCTCTTCCCACGTGGGAAATGCCAAGCTCCTGTTCCTGAGCTGTGTGTGGCAAGTGTCCCAGGTCACCCACAGCAGGACCTGTGGTGCAGGACAGCAGCAGGAGCTGTGTTTTCTGGGACCACTGAGCTCTTGGCAGTGGAAGTCACTGCCCCAGCCTCAGCGTAGCCCCCATCCACCTTCCTCCTCCTCTTCCTCCTCTTCCTCTGTGGCCCCACACCAGGTTACAGCTGACAGAGAGATCCCAGATCAGGAGATCAGGGGGTGTGCCAGCTGCAAGGCAAATCCCATGACCAGTCAGAGAGCCTTGACAGGTCTCTGGGATGGCAGGGATCCCCGGCCGAAATTCCATGCCTTCCATTGTGCCGGAGTCAGCTTTGATGAGCAGAACAGCCCTGTCTGGCTGGCAAATGTCTGCCAGTGACCCACAATGCTTTTGTTGTCTCCAGAGCAGCGTCCTGCCTCATTGAGTAGTTACCTTCTCCTTGCAGCCCTGATCCGTGATAGGGCAGTGATGAGACATTTGTTTTGTAAGAGTATTCAAATTCTCCAAGCTGCTTACAGGCATTCACTTTCAAAAGTGAATGAGACAAAATTTCCTGAAGATGAGAGTCTGTGGGTGCTGCTCCAAGTGTGGAGGCAATTCCACTCAAACCCTTTCCAGATCTGCTTCATGAGTTTTTCTCCTCGTTTCAGTTGGGTTCATTACTTACTGACTGCACTGCTGGGTGCTCCTTTTTGGACATGACCCCTGCACTGGCTCTGCTGCCTGTCCGGGATGAGTGAGGGATGTGAGGAGTGACAGCTCAGCCCTGGCAGCGCCGCTTCCCTGGAGCCTGGACAGACCCCAGAGTTCAGACAGACCCTGGAGCTTGGACAGACCCCGGAACCTGGTCAGACCCCAGAGCCTGGACAGACCCTGGAGCTCAGACAGACCCCAGAGCTCGGACATACCCCAGAGCCCAGGGAGACCCTGAAGCTCAGACAGACCCTGGAGTCCTGACAGACACTGGAGCTCGGACAGACCCCAGAGCTCGGACAGACCCCGGAGCTTGGACAGACCCCAGAGCCTGGGCAGACCCCAGAGCTTGGACAGACCCCGGAGCTTGGACAGACCCCGGAGCCTGGGCAGACCCCAGAGCCTGGGCAGACCCCGCAGCACTGCCCCTGTGGGCACCCACATCCCTGCTTTGAGCAGGGAATGATGAACTCTTGCCAAACAGGCAGGAAAGCTGCCCGGTTCATTACTCTTATCTCCACCACTTGTCCTGTCAGTGCCCTGGGATGGCCTGTGTCACCCAGCGTCCTTCATTTGCACCGGCTCCCATCAAAGCAATGACAAATGAGTGCTCCCCAGACCGAGCTTTCCCTTTCCAGCTCTGCCGGTGCCCACAGGGGACTCACCCAGCACGGGCCAGGCCCACGCTGAGAGCAGCCCCGGTGCTGGCTGCCCTACCTGCCCTTCTGGGCTAGTGAGGCTGGCCAGGAGTGACTCCTTAGGGAGATGAGCTGGGCCCTTTCCCTTTTCCACAGCCACTTTCCCTGTCTGGCCTGATGAAAGGGCAGAGCCATTGCCTAAACACCTTCTCTCCTGCCACCAACCCCACCAAACAAAATCCCCCCCTGCTGGGACAAGGACAGACACACCTGTGGCGTCTCACAGATCTTGTCTGCCTTACACCAAGGACATTGGTTCCTGCTGCCCTCCCTTCCAGGCCACATGGAGATGGGGAGGACTTGGAGTCTGGAAAAGCAAGTGGAAAGAAAACAGGTTATTTTCTTCAGAGGGACAAACAAAGATAAAGGAGATGCTTTGAATTTTTTCACAGGGGAAGTATGTGGGGAGGCAACAAATGTAGTGTGGCCTGAGGTTGCTCCCAGGAAGCAGAGAATAGACATCAGGATTTAAACTAAACCAAGGAAGTTCCTTCCTTCCTTCCTTCCTTCCTTCCTTCCTTCCTTCCTTCCTTCCTTCCCCATTCATCCATCCCTCCATCCCAGCTATTCTGTGATTTCCTGGGTTTCATGGAAGGAAATCCCAAAGCTGTGGGGCTGCAGGGAGCCCAGGGTCACACAGCCAGGCTTTGGGAGGTCAGAAGCCCTCGTGCAATTCCATAGGGATACCTGGATTACAGTGGACAGTTGCCTGCTGCAGTCTGTACTTTACAATGGACACACCTGTGGCTTTACAGGGCTCTACCTGCTCTGCTTTCTGATTTCAGGTGTACCTGGCTGGGATCTGGGTGAGGTGTCAGAGCTGTGGTGTGACAGGGTACATGGTGTCCTTAATCCACCAAAGGTTTGCTCCTGTGTGATCACTGTGCAGTCAAGGCCTGGCTTTGGGCTCTCAGGTTTTTCTTTTGGGGAATAAATTCTAGGCTCAGAATTTAGAAGGAATGACCCAGAAGCTCTTTTAGAAGCCAAAAGCAGTCAGCCCAGTGGTCGGACATGCACTGATGTAACCCAGTTGTATTATTGTGCTGTAACCCCTGCTTTTTGTTGTGTTACTGAGTGTGTTCCACAGACACAGGAAGCACTGTCCTGCTCTAGGGTCAGGGTGCACCCTGTCTCAGAGACAGGCAGCAGAAAAGAAAGGCTCCAGAGGGGAAGAGAGGTGGATTTCCTAAGGAGAGAGGGATCTTTAAGTGTCTGATGATCAGGGTAGGCTGGGACAGCCCTGAAATTCAAACTGCTGCCCAACCCTCCCAAAGAGAGCCATCAGGGTGCTATTTTATCTCAGTTTAAAAATAGCACATGGTACAAACAGTTGTTATGGATCTGCCTTTCATCAGGACACGGGATTTCCCCTCACGGGCTCCGGCCCTGGAAAGGTACCCGGGCTTGGGAGGCTGGGAGAGGGGTGGGCAGAGGGTGCAGCTGAACCCTGCCTGGATGGGGTGTGCCCCCTCCCACACCTCATGCCGAGGGTGTTTCCTCCCTCCAGTGACCAGACATGAGACACACCTATTTTTGTTTTAATTTAGTCACCGTGCTTTGATTTGCTTATCTGGCAGGCCAGCGTGTCCCGTATTTTCATGATTTAGTAGCTCTGCAGCTCCCTCTGGGCAGATGGGTGACACAGAGCCCTCGGGGACATGCAGGAGCCTGGCTGTCAACAGACAGGGGACAGTGTCCCTCCCTTCTGCCCGGGTTAACTCCCAAAGCACGCTGTAATGGTCTCTCCCTGAAGAGTGAGGCTGGATGTTCCTCCTGCGTGCTTGCTGTCACTGCACCAACCCAGCGTCACCTCGCGCTCGTCCCCGGGAGTTTCAGCCACGGGAAATGGTTACACTGAGGGCAAACATGGAGGCTGGTGAGGTGACAGCCACAGGAAATGGCTACACTGAGGGCAAACATGGAGCTGACAGTGGTGGTGGGTGAGGGAACAGTGACCGGTGTCACCCACCTGGACTTGCGCACAGCGTTCCACGCTGTCCCACACCACATCCTTGTCCCCAAAGGGGAGGGACAGGGATTTCCTGGATGGAGCACTTGGTGGATGAGGAAGGGGCTGGATGGTCACACTCAGTTGTGGTCACTGGCTCGGTGTCCGAGTACAGAGCAGTGACGAGAGGGACGCTCAGGGGTTGAGAGTTCCAGGGCCTGAAGGGCCTCCAGGAGAGCTGGAGAGGGACTGGGGACAAGGCATGGAGGGACAGGACACAGGGAATGGCTAACTGAAGGAAGGTAGATGTGAGGGTGGGCAGGCCCTGGCACAGGTGCCCAGAGCAGCTGTGGCTGCCCCTGGATCCCTGGCAGTGCCCAAGGCCAGGTTGAATGGGGCTTGGAGCAGCCTGGGACAGTGGGAAGTGTCCCTGCCATGGCAGGGGGAACACTGGATGATCCTTAAGGTCAGCTCCAACCCAAGCCAGTCTGTGATTCTGTGACTCTGCAGCTGTGCCTGCTGTAAAAACACATCCCTTCATCCCTCACCATCCTGCTATCTACACTTCATCCCTTTATCCTGTTTTCCTGCTCTCCTCCTGCACGTGCAGAATGTTGCCTTTCTGGGCCAGAAGGGCCACGGAGGATTAGGAGCAGCAGCACGAGTGGTCCCTGCTGTTCGGCCACCTGGAGGGGCGGCCGGGCGCTCCATCTGTCCCTGGGCCCTGCTCTATCAGCAGCCTCCTTCAGAGCCACGACTGCTGTGCCACACAGGCATGCACACGCTCCCAGGGCTTCCTCTCCCGCTTTAAAAACGCCCTTGCCTGCCCCACGTCACCCTTCCCCAAAGCTGGGATCTCCTTCATGCCCTTAGCATTGTCCCCTCAGCCCCTCTCAGCCGTGTCCCCTCAGCTCCTGTCCTCGCTCAGCCATGTCCCCCTCAGCCCCCATCCCCGCAGCTCCTCTCTCCCCTCAGCCGTGTCCCCTCAGCAATGTCCCCTCAGCCCCATCCCCACAGCTCCTGTCCCCGCTCAGCCATGTCCCCCTCAGCCCCCATCCCCGCAGCTCCTCTCTCCCCTCAGCCGTGTCCCCTCAGCAATGTCCCCTCAGCCCCATCCCCACAGCTCCTGTCCCCCCTCAGCCGCGTCCCCTCAGCTCCTGTCTCCTCTCAGCCATGTCCCCTCAGCCTCATCCCCTCAGCTCCTGTCCCCCCTCAGCCCCTGTCTCCTCTCAGTCATGTCCGCCTCAGCCCCCATCCCCTCAGTTCCTCTCTCCCCTCAGCCATGTCCCCTCAGATCCTGTCTCCCCTCAGATCCATCCCCTCAGATCCTGTCTCCCCTCAGATCCGGCCTCCCCTCAGCCCCACCCCGTGCTCCTCCACCGCCCCTTGGCCCCACCTTCCCCGCTGGCCCCGCCTCCAGTCCCGCCCCGCGCCGCACCCAACCGCTCTGCCCGTTCACCGCAACGCCGCCTCCGCCCCGCGCGGCCGCGCGCCGCCCGCGCTCGCGCTGATTGGTCGGTGCCGGGCGCGGCGCGGCGCTGATTGGCCAGGCGGCGCGAGCCCCGCCCTCCCAGCCAGCAGGGTAGTGCGCTCGGCGCGCGGCCAGCGCGGCTCCGCTCCCCGCTCCTCCTCCCGCCGGGCCCGCAGGGGACAGCGACACTCGCCAGGCGCCTCCGTCCCGGCGCTGCCCCGCGCCCCCGCCGCTCGGTAAGGCCGCGGGGAGGGGGCTGCGGCCGGGGACGGGGCGCGGGGACACCGCCCTGCGGGCGCGG